AGGATTTCGTCCATCCGCTGCGGTTCAAGAGCATTTTCAGGTGGGCTTCGGGGTATGGATGCTTAAGCTTCTGAGGCAGTATCTAGCCCTACAGGTGGTATATATTATGATATATGACCTCCGTGTCTCGAAAACCCACACCTCAAAAGCAACAGTGATGTAGCCATGGGAAAAAATGGTGTTTTTTTTGGTACGAGGCCCCCTCCAAGAACTAGGAACTAGGAACTCTGGGCATCACACTCTACCAGAAAGCTCCTCCTCGTCCCGAACACCTCGGGCCGTTTCCCTCTGCAGGGGTTCAAATCCCCAACTCACCAACCAAAAGCCACCAACTAGGGCTTCACAACCCTTGATATGGGTAGCAAAAAACACAACAACTCTTTCGCAGCCCCGCAGCAAAACATAACAGAACCCAAACACAACTTGCCCCAAGAACGGCGAAACGGATTTCGGGGGGGAGGGGTCCTGAGATCTGAGGCTTTTTCGCCCCCAGTGGCCGGCCTTATGACATGCCTCGGGGTGTCTTCTTGCATTCAAACCATGACCAGTACTGGGGGGGGTTCATACCTGGATCTTCCAAAGTCTGCATTTGTCATGCCTTTGTGGCGTTTTCAGCAAACGCCGGGAAACATGCACACCTGAAGATTCAGGTAGAACCATGGTCTTTACCTAAAGCGTGTCATCCAAATTGGATCCCAAGGCCATTCTTTGGGGGCAAGCCCCCCCGCCCGGTCCATGAGCAAAGAGTCAGTCCGCTGACTTTGTCATCAGTGAGTCCCTCGTTTGACACCCCAAGAACGTACCGCGAACACTTGACCGAGCCTCAAGTGAGCCACAGCCAAAGTCTGGCACCAAAAAATTGTCTACCCCAAAATATGCAACTAGGAAAACACAAAAGGGCAATGTATGGTCGGGATAGCTCCTTACCAACCTACACACACCGTTTCGCGTGTTTCGATCGTAGCCCGTCAGTACCCCTCAGACTAACATGGAAGCTCCCAGAAGGCCGTAACTCACTTCCGATCGAGTGGATCGGCCAGGAAAAGTCCGAACGTTTCTTTTACCCCTAGCACCCCCGCTCAGACTAACATGGAAGCTCCCAGATTGGCCAGAAAAAGTCCGAACGTTTCTTTTAGCATGGTCTGGCCGAAAAAAGTTGAGCAAGTCCAGGAGCTCGGGAAGTGAGGCAAATGGAACTTCAAGTCTTCCCAGTTCTGACTTCCACGGCCCTGTCTAGGTCCTCCAGATTTGAGAGGTTAGAGTAAGGGTGCCAACTTTTTTTCTGCAGTCTATTTGGGTGGGGGAACCCAAAAAACCCCAAAAGAGGAACGGTAAAAGTTGGCACCTTGGGGGGCCTAGATGTGGGGAAAGTGTCGGCGTCGCAAGCTGACCCGACGAGCTGCGCCATGTAGAAGGCCGTGGGCAGGGCCATGCGGAAGGCGGTGCGCGGGGGGCGAGCGGGCCAGGCGGCCGGCCAAAGGTACCAGGCCGGCGCCTGGCTGAGGGGTTGGCTCAAGCCAGTCGTCCATTTGCTTTCTTAGGCCAAAAATGGAAAATGGAAAACATGTGGCCGGTCGTGAAATCGGTTCCCTTTAGAACCAACAGGGGAAAATAACACCTGTTCTTAAGCAAATTGAAGTAGTCCTCACTTCCGTTTATTGATAGGGGGGTGTCCCTGGGATTCAGACCACTTTTGGAAGGGAACACCCCGATTTTGCTATAAGCTTGGGTTGATTAATCTGGGGTCAACAGGATTCGCTTCCTAAGTTGATGGGCCAAACAAAGTCTGAACTTGTTGTATGCCACGACAATGGTCCAAACCCAAAAAGTGACTAAAGTCCAGAAACTCAGGGAGTCAGAGTATCTGCTGCCCTCCAAAAAGAGTGGTTTGGAGCCTGCTGAACATATCAACCGCGGGCGCGTGAGAACGTCAACGCTGGTTCCATGTCAGCGGGGCTTCAGTCAGAGGCCGAGTTGTTCAACGGTATCCTCTACCTTCGTTGGGTGTCCCACAACTTACTATGAGGTAACCCTTAGTTGTTGGTTTGGATTGGCGGCTTGGGGATTTGAACCAATGGCTTTGTGGAGGGTAAATGGGAAACCAGTGGAATCTACTGAGCAGCTGCGATACATACAGTGGATGGACAAAATCCTGCACCAGTTGGGAAAAATGATATATTGGAGAATGGTCGAAATCGCTCGTTTGACTCCCGCATCAGTGAGCTCTCTTTGATTTGCCCAGGTACAATCAGCCTTTGACTAGCTCTCAGCTTCCCTCTGATACCCCAATTGGAGCAAGTAAGGGTCAAAGGTTCTGTGAGTTCTGTCACGTATCAGCCAGCCCCAAATCCATTGGTGGCAGAAGGCGAGCTGACCTCCAAGCCAATTCTGGGAAACCATCTCCGGGAAATTCTCCAGACAGCTCGCCAAGCACCCGAAACAAACTCAAAGAAACTTATTTTTCCGCAAGCTGGGTTTCTTGGACCACCCTGCAAAGTCCCATACCTCCAAAAAGCAAAGCAAAAAAAGAAAAGAACGAAAACAAACGGGGGAAAAAAAGGATACTCCGAGTGAAGGACCTTGACTTTCGCCCGCCGACTCCCCCGGACTCCGCCTCCAAAGGCCGGGTCTCCAACAGCCGCTGCAGGCTGTAGCCGGCCTCCGCCTCGGAAGGGCCCAGGCGCAGCCGCACCTCAGCCGAAACATCCAGGTGTCCCTTTGATCCAGGGACTTGGATGGGTGGGGGGGCGTGGGGGGGTTGGAGGTGTGGGTGAGGTGGGAGGGGCGGTTGGGGTGGCCGTTGGGGTGGGGGGTGGGGTTGGGGGTGGGGTTGGAGGTGTGGGGTGCCTAAGCAAAAAGCAAGTCATCCCTACCTTCAGTTTTTTCCAACAGTCCATTACCCTCCGTGCCTTGAGGCAGCTAAGCATGTCTTTCATAGTGGCTCGGGGGTATACTCAAAAGGTAGGGCTCTTAGAAGCGCTTAAAAGGGGGAGTCCGAGAGCCAGAAATGGAGATCTCCAGGGTTGCAATCCTCCCCGCCCCAATTCCGTGTTGAAAGGGGTGGGGATTGCAAAACCAACTGGTGTCCGTTGAACCCCTGAAATGGAAGCCACTGAAGAACAAAAAACACACACAAAAAACGCAAAGCCAGTGCTTCCAGTTGCCACTGGCCAGGGCCAGGGGAACCATCATGTAAAATGTAGAGTAAGGAGCCCTTGCTACCTTCAAACTGGAAGGACTGGGATGTTGGTTTTCTTGAGCCCTTCAACCCACTCACTTTGAGTGGGGTATCAAGGACCTGCTTTTCAGAACTGAAGGATCGGAAAACCTATCCATGCCTCCTTGGGTTGACCCTTGCTCTCACTTCCGACCGAGTACATTGGCAAACAAAAAGTCGCCAAACTTTCTATTTAGCACCAAAATGGTCAAAGCCCAAAAAAGTACTCAACTAGCCCAAGTAAGTCCAGTTAAACTCAAGGAGCGAGTTGTGAACCCAAGCTTTTTTTAGCCGGCGCCGCTGAAGAACTGGCTTGGGAACCCAACTCACCTGAAGGTGCTCCCCCCGTGCCAAGCAATTAAAACAATCAGTATATCTATCACCATATGAAACATGTACAATATTGTACCTAGTTTGTGCATGGTTGCTTGGTGCTGAGGGGAGGCTCGCTTGTTTGTCTAGATCAAGCTTCTCTATGCTGTTTCGAGAAAAAAAGAGAGCTGCGTGCACGAAAAGCGCTAGGGCTAGCATCACCTGAACAACTCTTCCCAACTTCCATATGCTTAAGCCCCTGGAAAACAATACATGTCCAATAGTGATGGATTCCCACAAGTTTACACTTGTTTCTCTTTCGTGGCTGCTTACCCATTGCGTACGCTGCGCGTTGCGGAGAACTGGCCAAATTCACAGACTTGCGTTGCGTGATGTCCCTGTTTCCCCTCGAAATGCGCTCGCATTTCTGAAAACCAACCTGCAGCCAAACCGGTGGAAAGCCAGAAAACTTCCCTTCCAGGTAGAAAATGGTGATCACAGGAGTTCTCCACCTTGACACAAGTACCCTCTTTGCTTGCACTGGTTTAGCTTGGTATTATTCCATTTGCTTAAGAATATGTTGTATTCTCCCCTGGTAGGGCTTGCCAAGAAGGAAGATCAAATTCAGAAGGGCCTGTTAATTTTACAGGGTGGATACACCCTTCAGGTTGCCACACATTTCCGCGCTCGATGGTTGGTACAGTTAGCCTGGGAAGTAGTGGCAAATAGTTGCCCGACAAGGGCAAACATTCTAGGTGTCAAGTAGGGGGTCTGGCAAAGTTGCACAAACAACCAACCTCCCTCTGAGTCAAAATCAAAACTCTGTATCTTTAAATGGTCTACCCAGAACCATGTAAAGAATTAAGAAGGCGGATCTCCGCAGCTATTTATGGTTGGGATTCTCTTACTAACCTTCATTTACCCGAATCGGCTAATTCCTCTATCCTCGTTGTCTCGAAAAACCTTCAGCCGGTGGCGTTTCTTAGCAAGTCCTCCCCCTTCCACACCGCTGCCCCTTGCAAGTTCACATACCCCAAGAAAAAGCTGGTTGTTTTCATCCCCCCTCCAATTTAATAGCTTGATTTGTAGGGGTTGATTGTAGGGGTTGACTTGTAGGGGTTTAGGGAACTAGGTTGGTTTGTAGGGACCCGTTCGACCCACTTGGGTTCGGGGAGGTCCCATGGCCTTCCCCGAACCGCGCCTTGGCGAGCAGCGGGACCTGGGGCCCATGGCTTAAGCCCAGCCGACGCCTGAGTGAGGCATCGAAGTTTTCGGCCCCCCTTCCGCGCACCTTTTTTCCACCCCCCTAGTCGTAGCACAGGTTTATGAAGAAAAAGAACTGGGGTCAAGAATGCTATGTCCTTAAACCGGGGTCAACATTACACGTTGCTATGTCCTTAAACCGGGGTCAACATTGCTGAAGGGTCATATCCTCCCTCCCTTAAAATGGCAACAGACAGGGGATCCATGGTTGATTTTGAGCGCGGGGGTGTCCGTCGGATTCATGACCACTTTTGGGGCCCCCCGGCCCCCTTATTAATAGGAACGGGTGTATGAAACCGGGGTCAACATTGCTGACGGGTCATATCCTCCCTCCCACCTAACGTGGCACCTGACAGGGGGTCCCTTCCAGAGGAACCTGATCTTCCAGGTTGCCTCCCACAGACGCTAGGCTTGGGGGAGCAAGGATACCCAAAATCCATTCTCCCTCCAGGAACCCTCTGTTCTACCTAAAGAATCGACATGTCTGAATCAGTTTACCAGGTTTTCACAACCCATCGGGTCTTTTTTAATGTGCTGGAAAACAAACGATCTTAAACACAAAAAAGGACCCCGTGGCAAGAGTGACGTAATTTCTTGCAAAGGCCACACCCAAACGGGGTCATAACAAAAACGGAGCAAAAACAAACACACAACACGCAAGTCCCGCCCTTGGCGTGTGACCAAACTTTGCTTAACAGCCAACTCCCCCGTACAAGAACCAGGGATTCAAATCCAAATCCAAACCACCGGTCACCCAACCACCAGCAACTACCTACCTTTGGCACCATCAACCAATGGCACCAGGCTGAGTACATTCCTAAGACCTATGGCACCTATAGCACCTAAGACCGGGCACATTCCCTACCCATCCCTTGTGCTTTCCTTTAAGGGAACCCCCCATTTCACCTTCCCTACCGATTTCAAGCGCAGCCAACTTCCAGCCAACCCCCGCCCCCAAGAATCCTTAACCATCCAACCGGTGGTTTCCCTCTTTCGGGGGCTAACGTACCGTCAACCACTTCCAGCCACCCAACCCCCAGCCCCAGGTCCCCCCCCCCGTCGCCCCCATCGCTCGCTCCCCGTCGCCGAGGCGCAGCACTTGGCGCCAGCCCAAGGGCCGCTCCGCGGCCCTGGGGCACCAGGAAGGCACGCAGAGGCCCAGCACCTCAAATCCGAAGCTCAGTTGTTCAGTGACCCCGGGAAAAAAAGGGGAACCCTTGTTGGGGAAGACCATTTTTAGTGGGGCCGCCACCCCAAAACAAAAAGAGGAAAAAGGGTGCCACTGAACAACTGAGAAAGTCACGAAAACCGACTCGCTTGGCTCATTGGGGCCGTGTGGCGGGTGCTTCATGTCGTCCAGGCTGCTGGCTTTCGTTTGCATAATATCTGGCAACTTGCTAAACCTTACATTGTCGACCGACGCTTTCTATTTTGTAGGGTGTGCTTGCTTCTTGGCTTTCATGCTGTTTACGCTTCTTGTCCCTTAAGTGCCGACCGTGGTAAGGCAACGGGAAAAGCGACAACATTTTGGGGGTTCCCAAATGATCAAGCATGCTTAATTCAGTTGCCCCTGAGACAACCGGAAACAAGGTGTGATAACCTATTGGGGCCATAAAAATAAACCAATGATGGATAGCCCCCCCTCCCCTTCTCACTTCCGATCGAGTGAACTGGGCAAAAAAGTAACCCGGAACTTGATATGTCCCACTAAAATGGTCCAAACCCAAAAAGTGACTAAAATCAACATGAACCCAGGGAGTCCCTGCCTTAGCCCCTTCGGGTTCTTAAGAAAACCTGCAGTGTTCCTTTAGAAAACACGTCACATGCATTGGGCTTGTTGCTAGCACACCAAAAAACACAATGCGGCTTTCGTTGTTCAAACAAAAATCACAACCAACCCAATGGTGTTTTGTCTTCTTCTTTTGCTGAAAAACCAAGTCAACAGCCCGTACCCCCCGCCCCCCCCAGTGAACATCACACTCCCAACTAAAGTAAGGCCTAAAATGCGTGGTGCGCCTACCCCAAAATGGGATCCCATGGGTTTTGACCCACACCATTTCTCGGTTGCTTTCTGCTCCCCTGCTAAAAGTTTAACGTTTAGTGGTTTAGTGGAAAACCCATTAGTTGGCAAAAAGTTAAAGTCCTAACATCCCTGGGCAAAACGCACCAAAGATTTGGTGTGGTGTCCAAGTTCTGCTCCCCAGACAACACCCTCCGCCCCTCCGCCTGCAGCTGCCGCCACTCTTCCGCGGAGACACGCCGTGCCACCGCCGCGGCCAGCGCTTCCTGCGACGCGAGGAGTGTCTCGGCGGCCGGAGGTGGGGATCTGTGGATGGAATGCATGAACCAAAAGATGAGAAAATATGTTTAGTGATGGATTCCCTCTAAAACCAAAGGGGACAATAGAACATCGAAGTCTCCATGACCCCTAGAAAAAGGGGTGGTAACCCGGGTAATGACCCCATTTCTTAAGGGTCATGGAGACTCCAGGAACTCAGAAATGGCGCTGCAAGACGCACATCCGTGGCTCGTCCTTTTGAGGGATCTCCAAAATCATGGTTTTCCTTGTGGTTCCTCCCTTAAAACCCACCGTTTAAACAGGGGGGAGGGACACACCCATGTAAAGGTCGGTCAAAAGGCCATCTACAGTGAAACCCATCTATTTTCCCACTAAAGGTCACATACTGTGGATGGTTGCGAAATCCAGAAATCGCACCGCTTGGAATTAAGGGGAAACCATTCAGGGTTGGTATTTACAGGTGAATCAAATCATTCCATGGTTTCTTAAGTGGTGAGTATCGTCCATCCACAGTATGTCAACGTACTCGGTTGCTTATTTGGATGTTTGATTCGCCAACTTCGTAAGTGGCTACCCACCTGAGCTATGACCCACTGTGATTAGCCATGGTTTATTACATCACCAGGGATGTCGCGGTAGTGACTGACCTGTGGTGTTTGGCTCAAGTTTTGGGTTCCGTCGCGCCTCGAATGGGCGTCGCCGAACCCCTGCGTCGACCGACGGCATCTCGGGGGAGAAAGAGACCTCGGGCCGCCGCCAGGTTGGTAGGGACCAGTCGTGCGGCCTGTTGTCGACCAAGGTTGCGGGTTAACCCTTTTCTTGTTTGGTTTGTTTCCTTTTGGTTGTTGTTCTCTGGTGTGTGGGAAACCCTGATCTTTGGGACCGGGGATTGGTTTGCTTTTGGGGAACCTTTCTTTAGTGGCTTGTTTACCCCAACTTACCCATTGCCTGGGCACAGGCTCGTGCCCGAATCACAGGTTATCAGCCGTAGGACTTTCCTACGCGCTTGAGACCATCAACTACAAGCTCTATGTCGACCCCACGATCTCGCAGGAGTGTCGTGGATGAGGAGGCCATCCTAGGTGGCCTCCGCTCAGGTGAGGACCTGCCGGACTATGACTACTACACCCAGGAGCCGTGGCGGGTACGCCGACGATGGAGACGATCGTATTTTCCGCCAGGCCACTGATGACGAGCAGACACGAAGGGTTTACTCCGGTAGGAGTGGCTCTGAATCAGGTCATAGACGTGGACGTTTTGACTTCATCAGCATGGCGATGGACATGGCCCGCCCTCATTCGGATGACCCGGAGGCCATGCCGATTCGACCTCCGAGATCTCTTGTTCCAGGTGAGTCGCAGGTCTCGGATGAGTTTGAGAATAGGCCGCAGGGACTAGGGACTATGGTTCTGGCTCCGGGAGGTATCCCGGGCCGATCCACTGGTTCTCAAAATCCAGGTCAGTTTGATGAGCACGAGGAGCGGAAATTCACGGACTTCGGATACGATGATCTGTTGAAATCAACCGCAGGTTGGGGCAGTAGCTCAAAGCAGGGATCTGATGCCGGTAGGCCCAACCCTATTACTGCCAAATCTGAGTCTTATGATGGCGAAGGTTACAATTTTGCGGATGAGGAGGAGAGCCATTCGCGCCGAGATGCAGGCAGCCGTGCGACTGCAAGGACTAGTCCCGCCGCTGCCAAGTTTGAGGTCGACGATGATGACGAGTATGCCGCGTTTGCGGATCGCCGTGATGAGGAGGAGGACCAACCACGACGAAGTGCTAGGATCCGTGATGCTGCGAGGCCCAGGAGCCTCTCTCGTGGAGCCGCCAGGGACCTTCGCGTTGACAGGGATGCCCGAAGCGAGAGAGAGAGAGCCAGGGACAGTCGGGAAGTTCTTCGGGGATTGGAGGCCATTCATGACCGCGAGGGACCGGTAGGTCCCCCGGCGATTGGTGATTCCCCGAATGTTCCCCCCTTTCCCAACATCACATTTGGAGGTCCGTTGAGTCAGAGAGACGTGAACTCGAACCGGGTTACTGGTTCACCGAGGATCACTGAGCGGGCTGCCGATGTTGTTAGGACAGGTGCCAGAGATGGTCGGCTTGCCGATGCACTAGGGATCGAAGATCATCCGTCGATCGCTAGCCCGTTAGGGCGAGATACCAGTGATCTTGAAACTCTGAGGTCTAGCAACGAGTTCACACCTCAATGGGGTTCGACTGCCAGGGAACGTAGTGTTTCTGCGAAAAGACCGTCACCTCTCGCCGCTGAGACCGATAGGTCAAAGGCGAGGAGGGCTAGCCCCTCACCGATGGATTCAACTCCGCAGGATGAGGAGATGCCCGATCCCGCTGATGTTCACATTCACTCCACCCCCGAGTCACGTGCATCCAACATTGATCCTCGATCTGGCGATAGCCGGAGAAGGGGATCTACCCCGAGTAGACCATCCAAAATTGATGATTGTCCCGTGGATGACCCCAGAAGACATGTCGGGGCTAGTGGGGCTCCCGAGAGGATCGAGATATCGACTCCTCCCGCCCTCAGATCCCAGTCTTCCGGCGAATCAGGTGACGCTAGGGCGAAGGAGGTGTTCGATCTGCACATCCAGGAGATGCTCGAGAGAGGTGAGGTTTCTGGCTCAGTCGCGAAGGCGTTCCACATCTTTGCTGACCAAATCAGGGTACTGAACGGTCAGGTGAGTTCCATGCGAAGGGAATGGAGTGACGAGAGTCAACGGACGAAGGACAAGGTCGATCGCCTGGCAGCTGAGGTTGCGACTCAATCTGATGCCGGGAGGATGCGAATGATAGTTCAACGGTTCGCAAGGGAAGTTATTCCCGATAGCAAGGCCATTGTGAGGCAAGCCATCGATGAGCAAGCCGAGGTCGTGGAGCAGAGGATTAACCTACTGTCCCACGAGGTCCATGAATCTGTCAGGGACAATGAGGCATCGACTGATCGGCTTCGCCTGATGATCCAGGAGAATAGTGAGGCTGCCCGCAGAAGCCATGCTGCTTCTGAGGACGAGACCCTTAAGGATTTGGACAAGCTTGAGAAACGGATGTTCTCGGTAGAGAAAGCCGTTGGGATGCGGACCCCGGCAGGTGTATGGAACCCGAACCCTGTCGCGCATCCATCCGATAGGGCCAGCGGCAGTGTAGTCGATGCAAATTTCAGGGAGTTAAACCTGAAGATCGAGAAAGCTCTCCTTGATCACGAGACATTTGCCAAGTGGGCCTCTGAATCTATTGAGGGGGTCAAAGAGGAGCACACTCGTCTTGTTAATCGAGTGTCTAGACTGCAGAGTGGAAGGGGTCCTCAGGAGGTCGATAGACCATCAGGGCATGATTCCCCGCAGGACTGGCATGAGGCTGTTGACGAGATCAATCGGAAGATGCAGGATCTGGCTCGAGGAATTCAACGTCAACGTCGGGATCATGACGACATCATTTCTAGGTTTGAAACCGTGAAATCACATGTTGAACAGTATGAAGCGAGATCGGCAGTTGTGAATCGGGTCGTTGATGGCATCCAAGGACAGATCCGTAATCTTCCTGCCAGCAGTGACCAAGTGCAGCCTGCCGTTAGGCGAGAGCTCGGCACATTCCGGAGTACACTTGAAGGTGTTATGCGGAGAGTCAGCGCTATCGATGGTAACGTGCGTAACCTTAGCGCCGCGAACAACAGAATCATGTCCCAGCTCTTTGAGATGGAGGGTCAATTTGACGAGGCTGCTGGCATCATTCAGGGTGTCCAGCAGATTAATGAAGCTCCTCCACAACCCAGAGAAAGACGGAATGTTGGTTACCATGCATGTGCGGGGCAAGGACATAGGATCAGGTCACCGACGCCTACACCAGGGGAAGGTGACGGCCGGGGTACTGGCCTGCCGGTGAGACCAGGCGGAGGCGTTGTTTTGCCTGATCATGATTTGCCGAATGTGCCCGATAGGGTCGATCCTTCTCGCGCAGACAGGCATCCCATCTATCCCGTTAGGGAGAGGTCCGACAGCAGGAGCAGGAGGGTTCGGGGGGTGCCTGACAGGTCGCATTCGCCACCGGAGCGTGCAAGGGGTGGTCCCCGCGCGCGCGCAAGGGGGGACGTTTCTATTTCCCCCAATAGGGATGCGGGTAGGAATAGGAGCCCGAGGCCTGCTGCCGTCCCCGATAGGGGATCTGAGGCCCGGAGTCGGCAATCGAGGGGGGAGAGGCCGATCCGCGATAGCGGGAGTGTCTCTCCGAATTTTGATAGGCCAATCCGCGATAGCGGGAACGTCTCTCCGAACCCAGGTCGTCATTCAGGAGGTGGTGGAGATAATAGGGTCCATGCCAACATCCAGAGTCCTGGTGATGAGTGGAGGACTCCTGGGAGCAGAGTCAGCGCCGACACCCAGAGTCCCGGCGATAGGCGAGGGACTGCTGGAGCTCCTTCGGATCGTGGACAGGCCTCAGCGCCGGCTGCAAGAGGGGCTCCCGGCGGTGCTGGCCCAGACGCGCCAAAGATTTGTGCCCTCGATGATCCCAACGACCGTAGGCACCCGAATGCTGAATTCTCGTGTGTGACATGCAGTCGTGAGTTCTGCGGGCTTTGTCGTGGCGACGACGGGGACTGTTGCAATTGTCAGTTCCTGAAGATGAAATGCTGGGCATGCCGCAAGAATGCTCAGGAGGTCTCCATGTATCTCTGCACGGGTTGTGGGACTCACGTCTGTGAGAACCACTGTTACTTCGGAAATGACGGCCTTGAGCGATGTGCACGCTGCAATATTCGGCATGAACGCGCTCAAGCTGGACCGCCCCCTCCTCCTCCTCCCGGGGGAGGTGGTGGGCAAGGCGGACCAACTGGTCAAGGTGGGAGCGGAAGTGGTGGGCATGGACATGCCCCAGCTCCACCGCCAGGTCCTGGGCATTATGGTGGAGGCCAAGATCCCGCTGGGCCTTCTGGAGGCCCGAGTGGAGGGGATCCTACCGGGGGTTACCC